CTGTATTGAGAACAGGTCTACGGCCCTCGATCGGCCCTCTGCTTCATCTGTGTTTAGATACGTGGCCCTTGATGAAAAAAGTTTGGACACCCCTGGGGGAAAGAGGTTAGGATAATAGAGAACATTTAAAGTACTGCTATTGGGAAAAAAGTTTTTTAAGTAGAGGTGGAACTTAAGTATTGTTCTTAAACAAAGTGGAAAATATACTTAATACTCCTAATCAGAGGTGGAAAACAAATGTCAAATTAAAGGAGACGGTTATGGGAACAAAAGTTATCTCCTCCAAACACCAGGATCAAACTGAGACCATGCAGGACCAGGACTGAGACCGGGACCAGACCAGGACCAGACCAGGACCAGACTAGGACTGAGACCGCGACTGAGATCGGGACCAGACTGGGACCGAGACCAGGATGAGACCAGAACTGTGAGCGGGACCAGACTGCGACCAAGGCCGGGACTGAGACCAGAACTGAGACGGGACCAGACCGGGACTGAGACCGGGACCTGGTTTAGTCCTGGTTCAGTTCTGGTTTAGATCTGGTTTAGACCTGGTTTAGTCCTGGTTTAGACTTGGTGTAATCCTGGTGTAGTCCTGTTTTAGTCCTGGGATCAGTCCTGGTTCAGTCTCGATGTGATTCTGGTCCTGGTCCCGGTCTCTGTCTTGGTCTCAGTCCTGGTCCTGGTCCCGGTCTGGTCCTGATCCTGGTTCCGGTCTGGTCTTGGTCTCACCCTGTGTTAATTATCCTTCCGAATCACTTTTCCAAGGATGTTGCACCCATTTTCCTGGGACGGCACGACTCGGACCTCGGTGGAGGAAAAAGTAGACCGAGCAAGAATTATGAGTCAGAATCCAAGCTGGCTACGCCCACTCTGATGTGTAAATATGAACTGTTGTCATTGTGTCTGGACACTTTGGTGGTTTAAATGACAATTTCAAGTCACTCGTATTACTGCAGTACCTTACCGCGCCTGTATCACTGCCAAAAGTGGTGTATGTGCGAAGTAAATGTAGTATGTGTGTGAGCTTTTGACAGACATGCTCATGATAAAAATGGTTGATGTGCAAGCTGTTCATTAGCATGTGCAAGAAAATGTGGTGTATGTGCAAGATTTGGATGTGCATGTGCAAGGAAAAGTAGTACATGTGTAAACTTTTAGTACATATGTGTGGTCTATTCATGATATATGGCCTAGGGGACGCCTCATACAGATGGCCGCTTTTTGCCGAAACGTCATTTAAAAATAAAAAAAATTTAAACTTCTGGACATTGGCCATTTGAGTGTGCTATGCATTTTTTTTTCACTTTTATGTTGCTGTTGCTTGCATTTGCTCCTCTACAAGAACTTTGGTGAGTGTTTTCTTGTTGTTATACAGAATTTGTCAAATATATGAGTGGCCATTATAATTTGGTTTTATATTAACACTCACATTCAGTCTCATTATAAGATCCATTAGCAGACCAGGTGTCTTACTTGAGAAAACATTTACTTACACATCTATTGTAGGCTAAACCTATAACATATTCTTGTAAACGTCTGCTGGCATAGAAGAGGTTGATCCAAACAGTTAACTGACATGTCCAAGCTTAATACTTACCTAAATTCTTTGCCATTTAATAAGAATGACAAACAATTAAATACAATTATTGACAACAACAATTACTGATATCTTTTGATCTTTCAGTCACGCTGCACTCCTGTGCTCTCATGATCCTGGATAAAAAGAGGTTGAATACTTTTGTCTGCACATCATTTCATCAGAGGCGAGAGCTCTCTTCTGTGGGCTGCTTCCTGTGTGATGTGCATGAAACTCCACCCCCTTGGGCCTAGGTAACACACAAGGTTAAAGACCATAGACTCTATCCATGACAAGGACATCCAAGGGCCACACCCTTGGGCCAAGTGTCCTCATCCACATATCTAATTTAATGGTGTCGTGGAACAGAAGTGACATATCTCAAGATACACGCCTACGACAGTAATATTTTCACTGGTTTTGAAAAAGTGGGCTTTAAGATAGCAGAGCTTAAGTGATCACAAGGTCATGCTATAAATCTTAAAGAATGAACAGAAAACAAAAGCCTGTGATTTTGGCCCTAAGGAACCCGAAAACACTAGAAGTCAGTGCACTAGGTCGCCATTTTCCAAGGAGTCACGTGTGGGCAGCATTGCGCTTTCTTCCGCATAAACCCATAAACTCAGGAAAGTTGTTCCGCCGCTCACAAACTTTCTCAACCTTAGAAAACAACACCAGGAGAAGTATTGTACAGACTGTTAAGATGTCTGACGACGTGCATTATCTCAAAGCGAAGCTAAATGAGCGACTGGCAGCGATGGCGCGGGAGGTATCCGAGCTTTTTGACGGACTGGTTGCGCTCCATGAGCGTGAAATGCAAGTCTTAAAACTCAGGAACATGAGACAGCAACAGATCCTGGACTCGGTGTTGAAGCCCCGCGTTATTTTACACAGAGCAGGTCTGCTAGCTTATCTTATTTACGTGTGGATTTTGCCATTAACATTAAGCGGAGAAGCACGTGTGTGAGGAGCAGGTCCTAGTTTAAATAAGCTATCTGTTGAGAAAAGACTCTTATGTAACACAGAATTTTAAAATGAGCTAAATGATGTTACTGTCTTCCTGCAGATCCTATCCAAATTGTGTCTCATCGGAAAGGGGAGGTTGGCTCACAGCTGGATGTTGGAATAACCACAGAGCTCCCGCACATTAAAGAAGAACATGAGGAACTGTTTATTAAAATGGAGCAAGAAGAGTTTACAGAATTCCCATATTCTTCTGTCAAAAGTGAAGAAGACAACAAACCTGTATTTCAGCTTCATCTGAGCCCACCTGACATACAGGACTTTTGTCTCAGGTCAGATTCTCAACTACACTTAGAAACAGTTAAAATGGAGAAATCCTTTGACCTAAAAGATATGGAGGAGAGCCAAGATGACCTAAGTGTCGCTCACAGAAGCTCTCTACATTTCCAGTCTGATAATGATGCTCAAACACAAAACTCTTCTGACACCGATGACTCTCACGAGTGGGATCAGGAATCACACTCTGATGGACACAAGTCTAAAAATGGAGGGATTAATGAAGTGGTCAATGATGATGAAATAGTATTTGAATGCTATAAGTGTCTGAAGACATTTCTGCGCAAAGGAGTAAAACATACACTAGAAAATGACAGCAAAGGAAAAGGTCTAACTTGTTCAGCATGTAGTGTTGTATCTAGACGCCAAGGAAAATGTCCCAGAAAAGTTCATTCTGGGAGAAAACCAATTATCTGTGAAGTTTGTGAAAAAGGTTTCACTCGTGAGGATAATTTGAATACACACATGTTAATTCACAAAGGGGAGCGGCCACACACCTGCACAGTGTGTAACAAATCCTTTACAGAAGCAGGTCATCTTAAAACTCATATAAGAATTCACACAGGAGAGAAACCTTTCAGCTGTTCACTGTGTAGGAAATGTTTCACACACAGAGCTACTCGGGACAGACATGAGAGGAGCCATTCTGGAAAACGACCATACAGCTGCTCAGAGTGTGGGACTGAATTTAAGCAAAAGGCACATTATCTAAGTCACTTGCAAGTCCATAGCAGAGAGCGGCCCTACAGCTGCCCTGTGTGTAACAAAAACTATAAAAGAAATAGTCATGTCACTTCCCATATGAAGGTTCACACTAGGAAACCAATTCAATGTGAAAAATGTGATGAAGTCTTTAAAGCTCATTCCTCTTTTAAAAAACACATGAAATCCCATCTGACAGAGGAAGCAATATGTATCACATGATTACTTCCCTAATCCCTGATTGGCTCCTGATTAAACAGAAAATATATATTTACTTTGCCATAATAAGTGTCCGGTACTTTGCTTGTTAGGGGCAATTTAATAGAGGAAGTTACATATCATAAGCATTAATGGCAAAGTAATTCTTTACTTGAGTTTTGAGTTTTTCTCTTGAATAAAATGATACTGCATCAAGCTTTAATCTTCATTCATTACACACACATTCCACAGACTGTGTATATAAATGGACATAGCTAACTCGCTTCCATTTAGGAAGTGAATATGGGGGAGCTTCTGTTTCCATTGACTTTACATTGTAATATTTTCGCCCCATCTCTTTGTAATTGCTGCAGTGAGTCTCCTCATTTTGGTCCTAAAATGTTTAATTAACACACTTTACACTACCCTGGTGTTTTTATCTGTTATTTTGTCCATAAATACATTTATATTCCTGATATGGAATTCAGCTGCAAATTCACCCCTATAACCTCTAGCATCATGAGCGTCATCTGACTGGAGATGAACGCTATGGTGACGTCACACTCCCTGAGTCCACTTCTTTATATTTATACATATTTATTCCATCTACTATGATCTAGGGTTGTCAAAAATCAGAAAATCACAAATCTGACCTACATTGGTTTATATATATATATATATATATATATATATATATATACACCTATGGTCATGAGCTCTGGGTAGTGACCGAAAGGACAAGATCGCAGATACAAGCGCTCGAAATGAGTTTCCTTCGCAGGGTGGCTGGGCGCTCCCTTAGAGATAGGGTGAGGAGCTCAGTCACACAGGAGGAGCTCAGAGTAGAGCCGCTGCTCCTCCACGTCGAGAGGAGCCAGTTGAGGTGGCTCGGGCATCTGTTCCGGATGCCTCCTGGACATCTCCCTCGGGAGGTGTTCCAGGCATGTCCCACCAGGAGGAGGCCCAGGGGAAGACCCAGGACACAATGGAGGGTCTCTCGGCTGGCCTGGGAACGCCTCGGGGTTCCCCCGGAGGAGCTGGAGGACGTGTCTGGGGTGAAGAAGCCTCATATTATAGTATATTCCTGACTCTGGGTCATAATCAGAACCAGCGCCTGAGGAAAGGCAGTCCCACTAACCATACAGCTCGTGTCTCCTCTCTCCTCTGCTCCTCTTTCCTCTCCTTGTCTGCTCCTCTTTCCTCTGTTCCATTCTCTTCTGCTCCTCTCTCTTCTGCTCCTCTGATCCTCAGTTAAAATCTGACTTTGCTTGCTACTTTCAATAAAAAAAATAAAAAAAAAGTATACCATTTACACTTAACATCCACTATTATGAACAATACTGTTAATATTAATTTATTAAGAAAACACATTAACATGCTAAATAAAAAAACATACTTTGGACACAATGTATAATTCTTCCAGCTGAGCCAGGCATTATCTCTAACCTGTCTGTCTGGCAGAGGCACAGGGCTTTCTGTCATAAATGCCCCAATTATTAAATTGTTTTATGATATTCTGTCTTTATGGCATACGGTTATTGGGACAGTGTACAGTACAGCCCACACCCAACTGAAATAACCTGTTTCAAGGCAACAGCTGACTACTACTACAGCAATCTTGAAGCATGTTGGTAACCTCTATTTGCAAATCTCTTCAAATACTTTGGTAAAACAGATGAACCAAAGACAATGAAAAAGGAAGTTGTGCACTCAGTGCACTCGCTGTCGCACACAGATACAAGCAATTCAGGTCTTTCTAGACTGAACTATTCCACTTGAAATGTTTTCCTTGTTTCCTTCTAACTTCCTTCTTTCTTGTACTGAAGGTAGCACCTTTCACCTGTATGACTCACTATTATTTGACATGCACAGTAAAATTCAACATTCACACCTAATGCATCAATTATTAGACATATAGGCTAATTTGCAGCCTCTGTTCTTGGCTTTTAAAGATGTTAAATACATTCAAAATCACTCATTCCCTCACTCAGTCAAGGCATTTATAAAAAGGTACAGTTTTGGTTTCCCTTGAGCCAAGACTTAAACCTGTAGGTCAACATTTTGAAGCCAACTATGGTCATCTTAATTATGTTCTTAATCTCAATCTAATTTTATTGTGTAATTTTAATTTTATGAGTTTGTTGTAAACCTGTTATTTGTTCTGGAGCTAATTTGTTTATTTATTTGAATAATCATTTGAGAGTACAGAACCTCAAATTCAGCCAAGAATTCAACACACTTTTTGTTTCTTATCATAGAAAATTCAACTCTGACATGAAACGTTCAAGAGGTCAGTTCTGAAACTAAGCACAGATAGCAACCACATGCAGGTGAAGGGCTTGGCTTTGTAAACAATCCTCTTTTGAATTCCTCAAATAAGATGCTACACAATGCCAATACAGGCACAAGCCTAATGAAAGATGGGGATGTATTTTACTTTATTTAAATTAAATGAAATAAAAACTGAAACTATAGACTACTCTATTTTTTTTCTTTTTTAAAAAATTATTATTCCTAGGATATTACCTATGTGCAATCAACATTCTTGTAGGCCTAGGTAACAACACAAGGACACTTTTACAATAAAATGTTCAGTTTCAATTCGTCCAAAATTGTGTCCTGAGTTTCATTTTCTATGATCTGACAAATTTTGCAATTTCAGAAACTGTTGCCATATTGGCCACTTAGAGTAAATAACGGGTTTTTTATATAAAGACCCAAAATGGAGAGAACAGAGCAGTTTATTGAATAAGACTATTAAAAGATATTGCAGTTTTATAGGGTTGTAGGTGTACATTTACACTACAGCACGCAAAGTCCACCCCTCGAGACACGCTTTTCACAGCAACGCGTACCTCTATTTGGCTCTGATACGCATGCGCAAAGTTGCATCTTAACTGACGGAATAAGTAGGAAACGAAACCTATTCTCTTTATATCGCTTCACACGGCTGTTTGAGATCATGCCACAAAAAAGAAGACGCCAGTAGCATCGTGAGGTGAGTTTTATCTTTTTGTTTTATACCCCCCAAAATATAACTGTTATAGTGGGCTAAAGTGGCAAAATGTATTTACATCGTATTATACTGTATTGATTTATTCATTATCACCATATAATATTATTTTATAAAGGCTTTGTCAGAGCAGATCTTAGCTATTTAGAATCATTGGCACAGTGCCTAAAAGTGGACTCAAACATTTTAAACTAAATAGTATGGAGAACCCAACCAAAACCTTTTAGTTGTGGCAGTTACTTTTTACTTTAATGCAAGTAGCCTATTGAGAAATTAAATGTCACACTTGATTTGCTTTGTCTTCTTCTGTTTTCAGACAGTATACTGAACGTCACTGCCCAACATCATTTGCTCTTAAAGGCACACCCACTCTCTTACCATGAGTGTGTTTATTCTCAAACTGAATTCATCAACAATGTCTAATCTATTATAAACTCTTGCACAACTGGCAGGGCCACAATCTTGTCTCCTAGCATTATACAGGTAAACATGCCTGCTGAAGTGTCCCGTCTGAAGCCACTGTTGACCCGATATGACCTCAGACTTGTGTGTGATCAGTGCACCGTGAAAGAGAGGGAAATCACTTACACACTCAAAGCAAACTCAAAGCAGCACCTGTGTTCGCACAGCCTGCTTTTATGTCGAGCCAAAGGAGACAGCCACTGGAGGCCTGTCTCTAAGCGCCCCACGTTCCCAAATCCCAGTCTGTACCAGGTGTGTTGGTTCTTCAGGGAGGGCAATGGCTGCTCAGAGCACAAAAACCGCTGCACTTTTGCCAGGAGTAAGGAGGAAGCTGCTGTGTGGAACTTTGAGAAGGATATGAAGATGGACCATCTACACCTCTGTAATACAGTTGCTCATATAAATGGAAGTGCTCAGCCTACATCTACCCTGTCACTAGACCTTACAGCTGTAGATCTGAAGGCTGTTTGTGATCAGTGTTGTATTCAAGAGAAAGAAATTACATACTCTATCAGATCAGCTGTTCATACTTGCACACAAAATCTTCTTTTAGCCAAATACAAAATCTCTGATCAATGGCGGCCGGTTGCAGATTTACCTACAAAAGGTCACTTTCGTCAAAATGTCCAGTACCAGGTGTGTGACTTTTTTATTGAAGGCTCTGGGTGCATAAAAGATGGAAAGGGCTGCACCTACGCTCGGAGCAGTGAAGAGGCAGCAGTGTGGAACTATGTCAGAAACAACCAGATACACGTTAAAGACTTAATCAGACAAGTTGCTGAGGCCAGTGTAATGACCCCAGAAAAGGCAGCTAAAGACATCATGGAACACTTTCCTGGGCGATTCACTGAGCTATGCAAAAAATGTTTTTACAGTCGACCGACAAAACTGGTGGCAAAAAGGTGTGATGACACTTGTTTAGCTGCACACAAATGGGAGCCTCTTCTTGTCCATCACCCAGCAGAACAAGGCAAAACGCTGAGTCAAATTCGTCCACTTCCCCAAAACTCCTCGCTGAAGTTTTGCAGCCATGTCAGGGATGGTAAACCATGCTGGCACAACCCTGGCCATTGCACATCGGCTCAGAGTGAGGTGGAGATGTGGGTGTGGAGGGCGGAGCTGGAGGGTCTCAATGTGCGTACCCTCCTTCTTCAAGTCCAGCCTCAACAGGATGCACAGCAGATCTCCATGTACTGCAGAGTGTGCTTCCTTGTCCTGCCCACTGCTGAGAGCTTCTACAAGCACTGCTCCTCTATAGAGCATGCCAAGTTACTGCGGGAGGACACCAGCATCCGGTGGAAAGGACGACCACCTCCTCACTCCAGACAAGCGGAATTCTGGCTCTGTGACAGGTCAGGATATTCCATTGCAATCAGTTTATTTATTTATTATTTATTTATTTTGATATATTAATTAATATATTTATATCTGTAAGGCATATAATTTGAGTTTGGTTGATTGAGAGTGCTCCAATGTTAAACTTTGCTTTTTAGTATAGCTTCACAGTGTATTACAGCTTGTATTTAGTTAGTGTTTTTATTTAGCCCTTATTCCTTTACCCAAAAGCATTTGATCATAGTCAATTCAAGTCTGTCTATGCTTTCACTGTAGGGAGTATTATAACCTCTCATGACATAATCCAGATAACAAGGACAACTGTCACATGTAAATATAACTCTCTTTTAGACCAGAAACATGTGAATATGGAAAAAGCTGCCCCAAAGCTCACTCTGAAGAGGAGCTCCAGGAGTGGCTGATGCGCACTGCAGAAGTGGACAAAATCAGACAGAACATAGAAGCTGAAGGCCTCATGAGCTATAATGAAAGACTCTTACAGGAGTACAGGAGCAGCAGCAATGAGGTGCACATTGTAAGTAGAAGTGTTTTTTTCAGCTGGTTGGATTTTATGACTAAATCAACATTACACCTTTGATACCATACTGTTATTTTATTGCTTTAACAGATGTCTGAGCAAGTTGATGACGTGACCATCTCTTGTGATGAAGATTTGACTCTGACCTGTGATCTGGTTCATACAAAGCTGCAGTGGAAGTTCCAAGTGGAAACAGAGGTACAATGTGTAGCACTAACAAGAACAACATTGCAGCATGTTTGTGATCAGTTTTTATCATCCGTCCACAATGCTACTTGTGACAATGTTATCTTCTGTTTTTTAAATAGTTTTTTTAATTGGTAACAACTGTTTTTACCTTTTTAATTTTGCCATTTAAAGGTCCTGTATTATGCAAAATAGACTCTTGTGAGCTTTAAGCCATGTTATAATGTTGTTATCTCATAAAAAACATGAGCAGTGTTTTGTTTCATTCACATGTTTGAGTAGCCCCTTATTATTAATCTGTCTACATCTGCATGTTCCACCTTGTGATGTCATCAAGTGGTAGTTTTCAAGTTAACCGCTTTTACTTTTTGTTCAGTAGAAATTGGCAATTCCAAGGCTGAAATTATCCAAATTATTCTTGTACGGCCACATTTCATCACAAGGTGGATGATGGTAGTGATTTCTGTTTGAGAGAATATATTAATTATGTAGGGTTTGTGTTTTAAACAATTGTGAATGAAACAAAAAACAACTCTACATATGTTGAAAGAAATCAGAAAAAACAAACAGTGTAATATGGGCCCTTTAAACACTAATCTGTTGAAAGTGTGTTGTCTTTGGCCCCTCTTGTGAAGTCTAATGTCACGTACACCCTTTAGATTTTCTGACACTGCATTGACTAATAATTAGGTATGTGCACTAACCCTAAAACAATTTGCATTTTTATTTAGAGGCCACTTGTGCATGTGGCGTTGCTGAAGCAGGAACCGGGAGCATGCTTTTCCCTTGACGACAGCTCTCCTTGCATTTACTCAGCCGGCCACCGTTTCTTCACTGATGAGACCACTTATGAATTCACTGTGTGTTTTACTTCAGATGTTCCTGGCCTATATGATCAGTGGCTTGTACTGGACTTTGACATGAGACCTGTGCTGTTACAAAAACTAAGAGTGGCAGTTGGTCAGCCCTTGTCAGATGATAGTGAAGATCTAACTAGAAACCCTGCAGCTTCCTTTCTAAAGGTTGAGCGCTGGCACACAGGAAATAGAATGATTGTTCCTTGTATAAAACGGACTGAGGCACAGGAAGAACTGCTAAAGCGGTACAAACCCCCACAGGTTAACTTTGTATACAAGCCAGCCCTTAATATCCAAACAGAACTGACTCATGAAAACTATAAAGAGCGAATGCATCACTTTCTGTACAGTGAGGAGCATGCAGAGGATCAGGCTGTGTCAAGGTACGCTCTGCTCCTTTATACATACCCTACCTTAATTATTAAAGGGCCCATATTGCGGTATTATCTGATCTATGTTATAATGTTGTTTCCTCATAAAAAACATACCTGGACTTTTATTTTGTGTAACTCACACATGTTTAACACACAAATTTTTAATATTAGGCTGAGTTCTTCTCTCATACAGAAAACATTCTGTTCCACCTTGTGATGTCACCTTGTGACTCCACTGTGTTTTAAACTCCATATATATTTACTAGAATAATTTGAATTTAATTTCATATTAATTATTGAGTCCTGGAATTGCGTTTCTCTACTGAACAAAAGGTAAAAAATTATAGCTATTGACCACCACTACTCCCACTATGTGGAACAGAGTAGTTTGAGCTTTGAAGATGTAGACAGACTAATAATAAACGATAACTCAAACATGTGTGACTGAAAGAAAACACAACTCCAGGCATGTTTTTGATGAGGTAACAATATTCTGACCTAGCTTAAAGCTTATAAGCATCCACTGTTGTAACATAGGCCCTACTGTATTTTTACTGTAAATGGATAAAAGAGGCAAAGACACAGCTGGTGATATGTTGATATTTAATGTACCTGTGCTGCTGCTAACCATATTTTATGTATTACAGGCTAAATGTATATGGAGAAATGGCAATAAGGGATCAGAGTACATTGTGGGGCACAGATGGAAGAGTGCTGTATGGAGAGATATGTCTTCCCTTCAGCCTCACAGCTGATAGCCCTGAGGGTCTGGCACTTCGGCGAAGCATTCAGTCAGCACTTATTGCCCCTGCATCAAAAGGGACAAACAGCAAGGTCTATGAAGCCACCATTTTGCTGGAGCAGGCTACTGAGAATGTAATGTATTTGCAACTGTCAAAAAGGTGCTGTGTTGATCTAGAACTTATACCCAATACATCACTTGAGATGGAGGTCCAGTTTCAGCTCAACCGTTACCACTTCTGCAGTTTGCACAAAGCTGTGGACCTGCTTCCTGATTTAAAACAAGTGCTCCCAGACCTTAAAAACTGTACTATTCCTGTAAACAGCATTCAGTGTGACAAATTAAATGCAAAACAACAAGTAGCAGTAGAATTCATCACAGGAACAACAAAGGATCAGAAAGGTGTCGCTCCATTGCTCATCTATGGCCCCTTTGGAACAGGAAAAACATTCACTCTTGCTACAGCTGCCATCGAGGTGTGTCGGCAGCCCCAAAACAAAGTGCTTATATGCACTCACACCAACAGGTAAGGCTTATGACTACAAAAACACTTCCCATGAGTTTGTGTCATCATAGTATAATCCTGTAGATTGCTAAAGGGGAACTTGGTTAAGACTGGTATGGATTAATGTGCAAACATTTTTTGTTTTGTTTTATTTCAGTTCTGCAGATCTGTACGTTAGAGACCATTTTCATGAAACACAAGTGAAAATTAAACCACTTCGCATCAAGGCTAACACAGACTGGGCATTGTCTGCCACGGATAAAATTACCCTTGAATATTGTTTGCTCAATGAAGACAAGAACATGTTTCTACCACCAACCAAAGCAGTCCTAGATCAACATAATATCATCATAGTCACCGCGACTATGGCACGACAGCTGCATGACCTGAAGCTGCCAGAGGGTTACTTCAGCCACATTCTGATCGATGAAGCCTCTCAGATGTTGGAGTGTGAAGCTCTGTCAGCTCTTGGTCTTGCCGGACCAGACACACGGGTGGCATTAGCAGGAGATCATATGCAAATGGGGCCAAAGCTCTTTTCTGTAGAGGATCACAAGCGTTCAGATCACACGCTGCTGACACGCCTATTCCACTATTATCAGATTCACAAGTGTGACTCTGCACAGAAGAGTCGTATCATACTGAGTGAAAACTACCGTTCTACCAAAGAAATAGTAGACTTTGTTTCTACTCACTTCTACATTGGTAAAGGTGATATTATCAAAAGCACTGACAAAGTCCCTCCTCCTTCAAATGGCCATGCCCTCAGGTTCAGTCATGTCAGAGGACAGGTCCGTTTCTCCAGCATGGCTCACAGTCGAAGTATGGCATGGTACAACAGCCAAGAAGCCTACAGAGTGGTTGATGCTGTAAAGGATATTCTGCAAAACTGGCCTTCAACCTGGGGACCCCATAAACCACAGTCCCAGATATGTGTCATATCTGAGGGATTTCAGGTAATCATGATCAGTTATATTTTATTTAAAAATACAATACACATTACTCGAAATATTCTTTGTATTTTTGTCACACAGGTTCAAAAGATAAGAACTGAACTATCAAAAATAAATCTTAATGAAGTTCAAGTTCACAATCTAGCAAATGTTCAAGGTGATCCTAAATACTATACTTCATAAATACAACTTACAGCTGCATCTCTTGTACACCTTAATTAGTCTTCTTCTTTGTTCCATAGGTTTGCAGTTCAGGGTGGTCATTATATCAGCTGTGCACTCCCGAGATTCTCTGCAGATCTGTCAGCTGACTGGTCTGGAGCTCTTCAATGATGTGCGTGTCCTGAACACTGCACTGACCAGGGCACGCTCGCTGGTGTTAGTTGTCGGTGATGCTGCTGCTCTTTGCTGCTTTGGACAGTGCTCTCAGTTCTGGAAGAACTATATTGACTATTGCATCCATAGCAACAGTGTTGACCCATTGTCTTTTTCAAAAGACTTCTTTGAAAAAGATTTAATTGAAACCAGACGGTTTCAGAAGTCTGACCAAGATGAGAAGTCTGAACAAGATGAGGAAAACTGCTCTCTCAGTGATACGATTCTTCAAGAATTAAAAGATGAATATGAATTGAATGAGGAATTGATCAGTGAAGATGACAGCGTAGATGCTCAGGATAATCATCAAAAGTCAAACACATCTTATACAAAGACTAATTCAGACCATTCAGAGGCAACCAATGAACACTTTGACAGACATGGAAAACTTGTCAGAGAGTCATACAACCGTGGCTATGTGATACCATCCACAAGGCCCCATGTGCGCATAAATATAAAAGGAAGAAACAATCTAGGGAAAGCCTTCACAGGAGATGAAGTGATCATAGAAAAAGGAAAAGTGATCGCCATCACAAAGAAATGTGACTCAGCCCGGGAACTTTTGTGCTGTCTACAGGAAGAAGATCACAGTAAAAACAAGGACACTTCTGGTAAATCAGTATATCAGTACATCAGGCGAATAATGATACCTGTCTCCAAGTCTGCTCCAAAAATCTGCATACTCATCAGCAAGAAAAAACGTCACCATCTTCCAGTGTGGTCACAAGTACATGGTAACTGGACGAGTAGAAAGCTTGATGAAACATTTGAACAGAATCATGTCTTTCTGGTGCAAGTGGTGAACTGGAAAGAAAACTGCATATTTCCGCTGGGCATTGTAATTGATGTTCTGTCCATTGGAAATTCCTTGAGTGAAGGCCTCCAAATTCTCAATGCACAATATAATGTTGGTCCCACGATATTAGATAGACCAGACTTGGAGGATACAAACAAGTCAAAGAGAAAGGACAGGCGCAGCAGAATCACTTTCACCATTGATCCTCCTGGAGCCAGAGATCTGGATGATGCCATCAGTGTAGAGGCTAATGTTAATGCTGAACACTATAATCTAGGGATCCACATTTCTGATGTGGCTAGCTATGTACCTTTTGGTGATGAATTGGATGAAGATGCAAAACAACGTTGCATTACATATTACAGCAATAAAAAATCTGAAGACACCATTCATATGTTTCCCCAAAATCTAAGCACTGGACTCTTTAGCCTTCTCCCAGGTGAAGAGCGCAGTGTGGTGTCACTCATGTTCAAAGTTGATAAACAGACTCATGAAATTCTTGGGGAGCCACAGTTTGAGCTTTCAACGATTAAATCTGACAGAAAGCTGACATATCAAGATGCTGAAAACAGTATTAACAAACAGTCAGAAAATCCTTTTGATCACAGCATCAAATTGGCGTTTGAGTTTGCCAAAGCCCGGAGGAAAGAAAGGCTTAAAAACTGGGCGTACGCTCAGCCTGATGATGACCACCTTCCAGGTGAACGGAAGGCCAATTTGATGATAGAAGAGCTCAGTGTGTTATTCAATAAGTATGTATCAGAAATACTCAGCAATTCACTAGTAACAAGAAGTTTTGTGCCTCTTCGCTGCCAACCAGGACCTTCCCAACAAAGCATGGACCGCTTAAAGGAACAATGTGCCGATCTCATTCCAGTCTCCTTTAGTCTGTGGCATAAAATTGACTGTGAGGAACAAAATCCAAAGTGTGACTCCTTCCGTGTGCTCCAGTACATATGGAAGAACATCCGTGAAGCGGCAGCAGCTGGTGATCATGACAAAATGGTGGATCTAATCGCTGCTGATGACATCCACCCTCTGCTTAAACCCATCACCACTCAGTTCAGGAAGTGCTCGAATAAAGCCTATTTCATCCGCTCCACATCGTCCCCAAAAGCAGATGTTGGCCACTATTCCCTCAACCTGAAGAGCTACACTTGGGCATCCTCACCAATACGGCGCTACATTGACCTAGTGCTGCAGAGGCTGGTACACTGCTGCATTCTGAAAAATCAAGTGCCCTTCACCTCATTGGACATTAGTGCTTTGTGCACTGACTTTGACAACAGTTCAAAAGATGCAAAAGAGTATGAAAGACAAGCAGTAAATATTTCCTGTGCTGTAGGTGTAATGAAGCAAAGTGTTTGTAAAGTAGCATTTGTGGTGAAAGGTGGAGCAGAATCTGACAGTTTCTTTATGTCTTTACCTTTTCACAAAGACATATTTTCAGACATCTCATGTATGTATAGAAATCTGCAGTTGGATGATCAGCCACGATATGATAAGACCAGTGGAAGTGTAACACTTCAGTGGAAGAGGAGAATTTATTCTGCCGACAAAGACAGGTTACACAGGGAGTTACAGACACAATGCCACAGTGGTCCATGTTTGGTTATTCCATTCCATGTGTGGAAGTCGATTGTTGACGCAATAAAGGAAGAAAAGTGGGAGGAAGCCAACTCTCTCATACTGAGGGCTAAGACAGAGGAGGAGCCCTCACAAACCCTTGTGAACACAAGTCCTTCTGCAAAGCAGATTGAGCATGAAGTAGAAATCAGCCTCCAGTTAAAGCCAGGGAACACTCTCCGTGTCCAAATGACTTGTGAGGTATATAGGGGTTTCTGGAGGCCTGTTGTTCAGCTGGTTAGCATCACACCAAAGTTTGAGCTTTGTGTGGACCATGTCCAAAACCCCGTCACCTGCTTCTCCAGGTGTGCCAATAACCCCTCTCAGATTCACTTCAATAAACCTGAAGACTATGTACGGATCTGGGAACCTCTGTGTGAAATGGAGTCAGCCTCTACTGCAGTCAGAGACTGTAACTGTATCATCATTGAGAACTTAGAGGTGAACTTCAGTCAAAGAAGAGGGGAGTCACTTGAAGGGAACTTCTTCTTACATTCAGCATGGATCGAAGAGTGGGCTATTACAGAGTTCAACCTTTCACACTGTTTTTTGTGCATACGTAAACCAGCTCTACCGCTGAAAAAAGATATATTAGAAAAATATGATCTATCAGATTATATCAAACCAGGAGACCCTGCAGAATTCACATGGGTGGCCCATGGGGTCACCACTAATTATGAAGTAAAGAAAAAGCCACAAGAGGGAAATCTAGTTCATTTCAATGTCAACCACCTTCCAATGAAGAATATTCCTGACAGCATTTTCAAGAACACTTTCACTGTTGAACTGATCCCAAAGACAATACCTGACATGTAAGTTTTTGATAGTATTGTACAACCTATTTAGTTTTTTCTTTTTTAATTTGATTTGTCCTTTTTCATTTCCACAGCCGAAAAGAAAGTGCTGTACGTAATGTGCCCAAAGCATGTGAACTTGTTAGGAGTATAGCGCTTGGACATCACATTCCAAGAGAAGGTAAACCCATCTTGAATACTGCATGTGTGTGTGTAAACAGCCACAGTGTTTGTAACTACTCAGTTTAATGTTCTTTTTAAAGTGGTGTCCAGTCACGTACCTATCCGGAGAGAGTTTCCAAACAAGCTTCCACCTCTGAATACCAGTCAGTTTCAGGCAGTGGGTATGGCTTTGAATAACACCTTTACTCTCATCCAAGGGCCCCCTGGTGAGCACATTTAACTTACTAATTTACAAATACTACTAAGAGTTTACTGTTAATAACTATTGTGTAATTGTTAAGTTTTGCATAATTAGCAGAGTGTTTACTTCCCAGGAACGGGGAAAACAGTCGTTGGAGTGTACATTGCGCTTTGTTTTTTGGAGCTGAACCAAAAGAATCCCAGAAAGCTACATTCAGACGACAAGGACAAGGACAAGAGACAAGTTATTCTCTATTGTGGCCCTTCCAATAAGTCTGTGGATGTGGTTGCAGGTACAACTCTTTTAGAGTATTTTTTAAAAATACTATTAAGGATTCAACTGTAGAATTATTACAACATTTCATTATGCAGAGTATATGTTGAAGTTTAAAGACATTAAGGCTCTCAGAGTCTACAGTGAACAAGTGGAGATGCTTGAGTACCCATACCCAGAATGTGTCCTTCAATTTTCTACAAAGACACGAGCTGAGTCTTCTAAAGAAAGTCTCAGGTATGATATATAATCAGTCAAGAAATTAACATCAAGCATAAAGCAAATGGATATAAAGTGTGTGGAATATTTTCTTGTTATTATGTCCTTGTTTGTATGTTTCAGGGACATCACTCTGCATCACCGCATCAGACAACCTACAAACCCCAATGCAGCAGAAATCAAAGCTTTTGATCTACGAATACAAGCGGCAATAATGGCCAAAAAACCCTTCACTCCTGAGGAGGTGAAAAAGTAAGTTCACAAAATATAATATTTAATAAGATAATGAGATAAGGGTACAAAACTGAAATGTGTAGTGTGTAGAATGTAGCAGGCCTATATAACGTGCATGATTTTTTTCAGATACAGAAAGCTTCTTGTTAAAGCCCGGAAATATGAGCTGGAGAGGCATGACATCATCCTGTGCACTTGCACACAGTCGTCCACCCCAGGTCTGACTCGTACAGTTAGCGCCCGTCAGATCCTCATTGATGAATGTGCCATGGCAACAGAACCACAAGCGCTTATTCCACTCGTCTCCAACAACCCAGAAAAGGTGGCCTCAATAAATGCAATAGAATACTTGAATAATCTCTTCCAATTTCATCTGTCAAGACTATGTCCTCAGTAAATTGAATGATGACATATTTTAATAGCATTTAATTTTTTTCTTAATAAATAACACTGCAGTCTTCTATTGTGAAAATGTTATTATAAAAATTTCCTCTTCCCTTCAGATTGTCCTTATTGGGGACCATAAACAGTTGCAGCCTATTGTGATAAATGATCGCGTGCGGAAGCTAGGCATGACCAAGTCCCTCTTTGAACGCTACTATACACGACTTGAAAAGAGGAGTGTGATGCTGGACACACAATATAGAATGGTAAAAGATCACATGTCCTTATTTTATGATTGAATTCTGATGACCTCACTCTAATTACTCTTACTCTTAGCATGAGGACATCTGCACGTTTCCATCCAAAGAATATTACGAGGGGAAGCTAAACACAGGGGTTAAACCGCCCAACAGCGTGCTGCGTGTGGCCGAAAGGACAATGTCTGTAGTATTTGGAGACATTAAAGGAATAACTGTCCGCCAGGTTGTCAGTACATCAAAGGGCAACGAGAACTCCAAAGCGAACCGCGAAGAGACACAAAAAGTGGTAAAGTGATATGTAGATGTTTTGCTGGTACATAGAGTAGCACTTGTGACCCTTCTATATTTAATATGGGGTGAAAATCTTCCGTCCAAACTTGAGACGATCCAATCACAGCTGCTAATTTGTAGCATGTGTCTTTCAAATGCAGGAGACATCTCCTTGAATGATTCCATGAATCAGAGCTAAATATATAATTTAGTAAAAGAGTAATAAAAATTGTAATAGCTTGATGCTTCGATAGCTGATTATCCAAAAATACTTGATTTTTCAGTCCTTCATGTTGTTTTTTTTGGAAAGGACCTTGCGTTGGTTCCAAAAAAACAAGACATAGACAGGGTACAGCTCCAGATCCACTTGTCTCTGTAAAGTTTTGCCAAAGCATCTGGTTCTGGTTGGTCAGGTAAACACTTGTGTAGAATTGAAGATCATGCAGAGATACATTTCTTTGTAGACACTGGTGGGGCTGAAGTGATGAACTGATGATGTTATAGGGATTGACTTTAATTATTGGTGTGATTAAAAAAAAACCCAATCAATTCATAGAGGTAGTTAAGATTATGACAGTAATTTCCAAATATGTTTTTATATACCACAAAACTTCAAACACATTCCAATCAATTAAAACTACAAAAACACATTATAGCGCGCTAGATTAGTTGATGCTACTGTAATGGCAGTTTCTTGCACAACTGAATGCTTATTGTGATAATCTTTTTGCTTTCTTTTTATGCACTACAGTTGGACATTGTCAAAAAGCTGACAAAAAAAGCCAGAATTAGGCAAAAAGAAATTGTAGTTCTTTCTCCCTACAACGCACAAGTTCATGAAATCAGGGAAACATTGAAAGGGAATGGATTGAGTGAAGTCAGCGTCAACACCATTACAAAAAGCCAAGGTTAGATCAACTCTAAATCATTGTATTTATTGTATGTGTTGTGCTAAATAACGAGCTCATTTTGGTTAATTAAGTTAATTTCTCTTGTAGGAAGTGAATGGCGTTATGTACTTATATCAACGGTGTGCTCCCTGCCCCATGAAGAGATCATTCCTGAACCAGACGGCGGATGGCTTTCCAAACATGTGGGCTTTGTTGGAGATCCTAACCAAATCAATGTGGCCATCACCAGAGCCAAAGAAGGACTGTGTATCATAGGTAATAAACAGCCATAAATGCAATGCTATTTTGCTTGCATTTTCTCTTCAGTGGACCACAGTGAAACATAGTAAGACTGGAATGGTCACTACTACCATCAGGGATGACCAGACAATTAATAATTTTTATATTTCTTTCAGTTAGATTTATAATTTACCATGATGTTAATAGACTGCACATGTGACCCATTTGATTTAAACCCAAGTCTGACTTATTTAAAACACAAGCCCCAACTGTAACCTCTTTAGTAAGTCTATGTATGTCACGGCAGAGATACAACATTGAGCACATTATGTCAGTTATTCAAAATGAATATTTGTTTACTGTCAAAACAATACAAGGAAGTAGTATGTTCAAAACAAACCAGGACCTAATTCAGTCACTAACTTTAAAGGTACCATATTATGCAAAATTGACTCTTGGGACACTTTAAGTCATGTTAGAATGTTGTTTCCTCCTCAAAAACATATCTGGAGTTGTGCTGTTTCCTTCATATATCTTTGAGTAATCTTTTATTATTAATCTGTCCACATCTCCAAAGCGGAAAATGCTCAGTTCCACCTTGTCATGTCATACGGCAGTAGTTTGCAAGTTAACAGCTACCTTTCATCTTTTGTTTAGTAGATATTGGCAGTTACAGATTTGAAATCACTCAAATTATTCTTGTTAAGGTGTAAGGTAGAACAGTGTTTTCTGTCTGAGAAAAGAAAACAGCCTAAATATGTAGAGTTTGTGTCTGAAGTATGCAACTCCAGGTATATTTTTGATGAGGAAACATTATAACAGATCAGAAAACAGCAAAATATAGGACTGTTATTGTGACCTATGTTGAACTGTTTGTTTTAAAATGTGCTTATTTTGTTCAACAGGAAATATGGAGCTACTCTACTGCAGTAGATCATGGAAAAAACTGCTGGACCATTACAAGAGAAACAACGCAGTGACTGATGCAGACAAGATTTCAGTTTGTCAACTCTAAGAGGAACAAATTATTGAGGATCTCCTGGAAAGCCATGAAAATTGTTTTATGTGTTTGTTTTAAGACATTCCGTAACTACGTAGCCCACATACTGTTGAAATACAACACAGATGTCTTAATTACTTACTATATTTTTACTTGTATTTTAAAGAGAAGTGATATTTATTTTGTGTATAAATTATTTGTATTAGATCTGTAACAAAGATTATGCAAAAAATTATAAAAATAAAATAAAATCTCTTAAAGCAAGTGTCTCCACATCAGTCAAATATGCTTTGGATAAAAGTTTAATTCACAAAAATACATTGACCAATATAATGAAAATGTACTAAAATGTACTTTAATAATTCATAAAAGCTGGAACATCATTGACAGAAAAACACAAGAAGCATTATTAGAGTTGGTTTAGTATAATATATTTCAGCTTCAAGAGACATAGAAATCAATCCTTATTTTCCCCCATAGTTCTTCTATAAAAGACCCATTTTTTCTCAAGCATTGTTATGCAAAAATGGCATTAGAATATATTATGGGAGCTATGAAATCCCAGTGACCAAGTATAAAATTAAGTCACATCAGAAAGATAATCTGCAGAAAGAGTCCATGAAAAACAGGGCAAGAGAGTAAATCATACAAAATAATAATACATAATATAGACCTTGCTCTATCATCACGGACATTGCGGGCATGGACAGGAGGTGTATGGCTACAAAAGAATTTGCACTTTTCCACTGGATTTCACTTGAAGACATTTACACATGATGTACTTTTTCATGCTCATTTCGAATAATATTTATAATCGTACAACTAAGGAGGTTTAACTTCCAGGTCTTTCAAATACAATATTGATATCCGAAAGGTGAAAAATACTAAAAGCCATGATCAAAGTTCACTAAGGACTCAAGGATTTTTGAAATAGGATATGTGGCACTTGGATATAGGCTTGGGGCTTTAGCATATTTCAGATAATTTCCCTAAACAAACGTGTAGTTGTATTCTATATTTAACCACACACTTCACCAGTACTGTATTTGGGTTTACAGTACAGTGCATCGATTACCCCAAACAGAAAATCTTTAAAAACCTTCTTTAATTGTATAATATAACACTGGGCAAGTGTGCAGTGCACTGTCCATTCAAGCCATGGTGGTTTTCCATTTCTTGTAAAAAATAGTACACAAAGTATACACAAGTCCCACATATAATACACTACTTCAAACACCCTCTAATCACATTTTCTGTTAAAAGTCAATATAATTAAAATATAAACGGGCTGTTGTTTAGCCACATGTGGCTCAGAGACACCTTTGATAGTTTAGGGGCAGGTTGATGTTGAAAGTTGAAGTGATTGTGTCCTGTTTGTGGTTGACACAGACGCACAAAGGACGCCCTGAAAGAGGCGAGAGATTCCAGTCTGCTCTCCCCAACTGTCCATCTTAAATCTCTCCATTTCTCTGCTTTAGTTCATCCTGGTCTGTGATCAATCGGAGTAGTTTGGTCGACTGACTTATGGCTGATGGAGGGAAGGGCGGGGCTGTTTGGAAAGCTGGCACGTTCCAATCAGGGCAACAGTTCTTCATTACAGCATTTCTGAAACAAGACAAGAGAAAGTTCAGTTACATTTGATGTATTTAATTTATCGCATTGATAGATCATTGGCAGTGTTCAATATCGTCATTCTCCTGTTTGAACATATGAAGCAAAGGTGAAAGGCCTCACTGTATAAATCTGGGGTCTCCAAACGTCAGTGAGCTACCTTTACAGAAGGAAAATGCCAGAATGCTACTCATTTTAACAGTTGCAAGAAACTGAGTATAATCTATGAGTAAATCTGTCTATGAAACATAAACCAGTATCCATTTATTAGTGCTTTATTAGTTAGGTATCAAAATGACACTACTGTATACAATGGTCAGACATTAATCAGAGTTTAGTTATTAAGCACAGTACATATAATTCAGAAATCCCTTGGCGAGCTGCTTGGAAGGAGGTGGAGATATATTTGTAGCTCTGGAGCTACAGGTTGGAGACACTTGGTATAAATAGTTGTATAAATAGGTGTATATAGTGACTCTATATACACTTGTGCTTAACTTAACTCAACTTATTATTTGGAATTCAGCTATTCACTAAACAAAGCAAAAGCTTTGCTGCCCTCTTGTGGCAGCTCCTAGTCACATTTCACACATGTACAAGCACTAACATAAATTATAGGGCTGGGCAAAAATATTTTTTTTAAATTGAGATTAATCGCATGAGTTCGAGCGATTAATCGCGATTAATCGCATGCTATACGCAAAACCAATTAATGAATTAAAAAGTAGAGTATAGCGCTCTTTTATTGGAAATGTAAATAAAAGAGTCATACATTTGTTGTGCAAACAGCATTTCTTTCACAGGGGAACCTCAGAGCCTTCAAGGTATTCAGGGAAGGCTCAAGAAAAAATATTGAATGGACGTTTGTACTACTAATATATTTATTGAATATTTTTTTATGCTGTGAGTAATGAACTCTACACTAGTAATAATTTCTAGATCAGTGTTATAAACTTGGACTGATATTTCTTAGGAAACAAAGGGTTAATATAATGGAATGGAAATGGACCAATCACATTTTTCTTCCAATGGTATCTGGGTAAATCAGTTACTCCAGCACTGAACTCAAGAAATCTCAGCTCAGAGCGCACGGCTGGTCCGGCCAGGGCCGGTGCCCGCGGCCGGTGCCCGCGGCCGGAGCCCGCGGCCGGAGCCAGAGGCCGCAGCCCGCGGCCGGAGCCAGAGGCCGCAGCCCGCGGAGGCTCGGGCACGTTGCATCTCACGTGGTCAGAAAAAAGTGAAAAAAGTGTAAAGAAAAGACGTCAAACTTAAAGAAACGCTCGCGGTGGACTTTTTCAAAATAAAAGCCAGTGAGAAACAGACGTTTACAATAAAATAAATAAATAATAAAAAAAACACGTTAACGGCGTTAAAATAATTGTCGGCGTTAATGACTTAATTAGTTAACGCAAAGTTAACGCGTTAACGTGCCCGGCCCTAATAAATTATAATATAAAATATAAAATTACAGTAAAGGAGTGAATCCCTATTTTTGTATTGCCACATTTAGCTGGAGTCAATTTAATATTATTAATCTCATGCATTCAAAACTGCTGATTGTCAATAAGTGATTATGGGAAAAACATGCAGACACTTGATACTTCCTCATTACTATCAAAGGACCAAAACAGAAAAAGTCCTGTAAAAATTTATGAAGTGAAACTGATTTTTATGGTAACGTTGTCAGGAAATCCTTGTCTGTCGTCAAAAACACAACAGCTGCCATACAAATAAAGCTCAATTCAAAATATAGAGGAACTACCCATTAAAAATAAAAGAACAATTTACATTGTTCTCTTTGTGTGGAAATTACAAGATTTCTTGAAGTTAACTTTTTTCAAAAATCCTAGACATACATTTATGAAATTGGGTCAAGAATCAAGTTTGACTTTTAGCACATTTTTAATAACATCTGCTTTGTTCCACCTCATTCTTCTATTACCAGCTGTGATATTTCTATACACAGTAAAATACTAACATTCTCTAGATCTTGATTTGATTGATTGTCTAGACATTTAACAAGGTTAAACGTCTAGAGAATCAACCACTTGGTACTATGCAGTGTTTCCCATCAACAGTACAACACGTGTGAAGATAATGTGAGTTGCTACAAACAGGCCATGAATAGCTGCTGTGATAGTGAATAAACAAGAGCTGATTTGAGCAGTATCATTAAGCGTGGCAGTCTCATTAACCTGACAGGCGGCCCATGCTTCAGAAGTCTTAATCAACACACACACACCTGGCTCAGAGCTGCTGCAGGGCGCTGGGGGAGGGGCTTAAAGCAGGACACAGTTGGATTTCTTTTTTGCCTTCTTCTTTTCCACTGGTGTTTTCCTATTTATCTGTCTGACCAGGTCATAGAAGATCTGAAAGAAACAATATCAATCATTACATTAAGAGGGTGCAGTAGGGCCTGATACAGTGAAAATAGAACAATGTCTTACAAATTCACAGGTCTTATCATTTTAAAGTAATTTTTCATGTGCTTTCATGCAGCCAGACACATCCATTTACAGTCCTGAAGTATCAAGCAAATCTTTTATCAACCAACCAATTTCTCATATCTAATCTTATAAACACAAACACTCTGAATAATAACAAAGCACTGTAATATAGTCCATAATTAGTACTTACATCGAGAACGTTGATCTTTGACTTTGCAGAGGACTCTAAAAAGGCACAGTGGTTCCACTGTCGAGCCAAGTTCTGGCCCTGCTCCTTCCCCACCACACGCTCATCCTCCAAGTCGCACTTATTTCCAACCAGAATCATTGGCACCTGAAAATATACAACACAATTTAAGTAATGCACATTCACCATTGCTCATTAGCAATTATTCAGTCTTTGCAAAACATTGCAGTAATACTAACAAAACATTGTTGTACCCTTATACCAAATGACAGACTTTTAGTTATAAT